TTAGATAGAGTGTTTATTTCGAGTAAGATAAGCGTGAGTTACTGTGTATAGCTTCTATTGTAGTATAATTTGTATGAAATCCTTAAAAAGGAGAGATAAGATGGCCGTAAAAGATATGGTGATATTATAATCATGAAAACCGCATACTAATAATACTCCATAGCCCATGAGTGATCGCCACAGAAAGCTCAAAATAGTGAGTCTTGGTTATGCTATCCAATTTGGCCAATTTGCAATACGTAAACGCATAATGTCTCCAAATTAGGGATTGTACGCAATTAATTACCAACTTGTGTTGACTACAAACACACTGAATAGTTCTCCCCAAGTTGGATAAGACATATCTCGCTATTTGAGAGTTATAATATTCAAACTACTACTATTTAGGTTTTTGCACCATAAAGCAAGCATACTAGTCTTCATTGTTCCGTCATAATAATCTTTTCATTCGAGTTGAACTCGATCTCGATATTACCCGGGATATTTCGTTAAGACTTCCCGGGAAAACCAACTGCACCTATACAGTGGGTTAACTTTAAACAAAGCTAGCTGACTTGGCTTACACAGAATTCACTAAAGTTAATAATATCAGGGCCTTCTCGCACTGACCATTTTTCGTACTAAACGTCCCATTTGCCAGTAATTCAGCAAATATCGTTAGCAGTACGTCCCAGTCCCAATTCCGGCAAGGTGATCGCTGCTGCTATACTGGTTCGCTGAATTCTTGCTTGAAATAAAGAATGTATCTTGTCCAAATTTCCCGCTTCGTAGTGTGACAGACATCAAATTGTGTGTATCAGGTAGCTGTATAAATCATGTAACCTCTCCGTAGTGAGTGACGACAAAGCTTTGGGACTAATCTGTAACAAAATCCCTGAGCCTCGTGATGGAGAGAGATAATTGTCCGTCGTAGCGTAGGAACTTAATATCAAAAACTTATTGCACAGGCACAGTCCTCATTTTCTAATAGCAAACGGAGCGTGCCCGTAGAGAGTACAAAAACAAAACGCATCAAGTCCTTTATAGTATACCTTTTGAAGAGGTGATGGCGTTAACCATGAAATGATATTATCTGTACTGCGAGTCGGAACAATAATCATCGGTATTATTCATAATTTTCTCCGAAGGAGATGATATCAGGCGTGAACAACCTAATATAAATTATAAGAGCTCTAAAACAGAAGGCGCGTTCCGCCAATATAGCAAATTGGTTGGTGATTGCTCTGCCCGCTACTCTTGTAGATCCACTATATCGACACTGAGAACCACCAGACGAAGAGGTCCTGATGTCACAGAGATGCGCAGATTCAAGAAATTGCGCCACGATCTCCGTCTTATAAAGTGAGAGCCGCACATGTGAAGAGTGTCTCCCTAAGAGAACTCTTTCTGCGCTTCTTCACGGGTGCAAGGAGACCTTCAAATCTTGGCTCAATCTCGGCCAAATTTTACACCCGGCCGCTAACCCATGCCCATAATTCATTACATAATGCTATGTATGATATTTCATCCACGGGATAAGTTTTTTCCCGAGGTCTTTTCGCATTTTGATGTCTGCTAATTAATCAATATCCACTGCATCTCCGATCTGTAGCCAACACTCTTTTTATATGCACTCGCTCCAATCAGGATCATGCAGATACTATAAAAACCACCACAGAATCTAACCCTGTTGATGGTCCGGAAATCCGTCAAATAGCCTCTCGTTTCCTCTCGGTGCCTACCTTAAAGTGATTGCTGAACTGCCAGTTAACTTATATGCCTTAACCGCCAGAAACCCCTAGCAGTTGTGGTGCGTGTTTAATGGTTATAGTCTTTTTCCGCTATTACAACAAACAATAACAACAATGTTTATACTTGGTATACTCCCAATTACCCTGAACAGGTGTAGTTATTAGGTTAGTTTTTGCCCCCCCCCACCCCGTCTTTCCCTCTCCCTCCTACCCCCCACCCTCCCCCACCTAACACCCGCCCACCCCTACATAACAACCGACGAAGTTTGTAACTTGGTGACACAAAAGACGTATAAACAACTTCGGAAAACCCTAGGAAAATAATACAAATGATAGCATTACGAGCGGGTTAATTCTAGCCATGCTCGGTCGGTCTGTCAACGTCCTTGCTCCCCAAAAGCTGCTCATTTGGCGGATCCGCCAATATCGGAACCACTACATTTAGCATATAAGTAGTTGCCGTACAAACGATCAATCAAAATCAATTCCTTGTTCGAAAAACTTTTATTTGACGAGATATCTTTAAAGTCAGATATAGATCTTTTTTTATTGCCTCTATGCTATAAGAAAAGCACCTGTTTATTACTTCCAATATCGTATCATTCTTAAGAGATAACAAATAACACGATACTGTCACTTTTGAGTACAAACCTAATTTCTTTGGTTTACTTCGTATATCCACACAAATATATGTTTGTCAACATGTAGTAGTTTGAATATTTAATTAAATAATACTCACTTCGGTACATTTTCTCACATGAATACGTTTTCATCCAATAAGCACCATGACCTTTCCATGCCGAGACATTTCATTTGCAATAGGATTATAAACAATACCCACTACCAATCTCGATTAATGGCCAAAAACCACCGATATACACCAATGTGGTATGCGGTGTATGAAATTGGTGTGCATCTATGGGATCAATGATCCATGTGGGTGCATTTGTTAATACCGGCTCACTATTGTTTCCGCTGTGCCTCTTCACCGATAAATTTCGTTTCGGGAATGCTTTCTGTAATCCAGGATAAGTAGATCCTCTACCTTCTTATCATAAACAGTTACCACATCATAGAATGCCGATTTGTTTTTGATTAGCATCCGCTTGTTCATAACCTTCACAAGCGACCGGCCCACATTTCATGACCAATTCCAAAGCGACATTATAGTAGTTACGTATTGTTTCTGATTCGACGCTGTCAGACATATTTATTTTGTATAAATAATAATATAAAAAGTGTTACGAACTGATTTTTCTTTGCTTTTTAAATATAATAAATTTCGCTAAAGCGACTTTTTCGAGTGATGTGTCGCCTACAACTGACTACTTAGCATTCACTTAACAAAGTTGTACTGCATTGCGTAGACTCTCCAAGCGCAGAAGCGCAATTCGAAGAGCAGCGTTCGGGAAAATGTATTAGTATGAGAGCGTCTGCGCATAAATTCTTTCCTCAAATACAATACAAATTACAAAAATAACAAATATATAAATAATTAATAAAAAAGGGAATCGCTACTCAACTGCTTACTTGAATTTACAACTCTCAGTGATTTGTTTGTTTTGCTTGCCATCCGCATGACAGCACGCCACTCTTCCCCTCCAATAGCTGTTTGATGTCATATCGAAGATTTTCGAATTTCGAATATTTACACTTTTTTTCGTTTAGAAGTTTTAATTGTACTAATTTTTAAAAGCAAAAATTAAAGTAAAAAATGTAAAATTTGTTTGAAAAAAATTTATTTAATTATATAAAGAAATAATATTTGAAAAAAAATTACAATATTGAAGTACATAACAATTAGAATTTCTGTAAAACTGCTGTTTCTTCCCATTTACAATGTTCAACTAAACTTTATAGCTCCTCGCCGCCAACAGTTTTCACTTGATCGGCTTTCCTTATGATCTCCTCCATTTCTTTGCGCAACGGCTCGGTGCCAGCGCATATTAAATCTGGTTTCATAATTTCAAATGGTCCACCATAGGGATGTGTTACCACGCCACCGGCTTCGCGTATGAGCAAATAACCGGCAGCACAATCCCATGGGTACATGTCTTCGATATGAAAAGCATCCAAGTTTCCGGCAGCTACCATGCATAAGGAATCCACGACACACGAATACGCGAGTAATCTGAAAGTGGCAGAAAAATAATTTCGAGTGTGAAGAGTAATTGAATGCAGAGAGTTGAAGAGCGCAAGCACCTTTGTGTGTGTGCTCTCAAAGAGTGATTTAATTTTGTGCTTTATTTATTTATTTTCTTGATTTGTTTATTCTTGCAATTTTTGTAATGTTTCTAGGAATTTGTTTATATTGTATTTCTTGACATGCTCTCAGCAGCTCCCGCGTAGATCGCGTTCAGGGGGCTATACTTGTAGATGTTTAAATTATCCCACCACCTATTTTTAATTTATATCTTAACACTTTTTCATGGTCTAAATAAAAAACTGTAACTATTGGATAAAAATAATAGTAATATAAATTATAATCGGTACCGAAAATAGGGGAAATATGTCCATATATTTTTGTTTGGTCTTCATATAAACACCTCGTTCCTGACTGAGTAGAAAATATTAATTAAACAAATATAAAAGAAAATTAAATATAATATTATTCATATCAAAAAAAAAATAATAATAAAATAAGTAATAATAAATATAATAACAGACTGAAGTATGATATAAAATACATATAAAAATTAGTAATTGTAAGTGAAAAATTAATTAATTCAATTTAAAAAAAAAATTTAACTAAAATGAAAGTAATTGAAAACTGTGCTGTATGAGAAGTAGGCGTGGCTGTGATCCCTACTTTTTCGGTAGGGGTTCTTAACGGAAAGCGTAAGCCCTAAGCGTGGTGGTTTAGCAGACCTGTACTATAAACCATAATTTTTTATTTTTCTGTATAAAAGATATAAATTAAGCAATATTAAAATAGGATTATCTTTGCTTACATACTTGATTGCTATTTGCTGTTATAAAAGTAGTAGATACTTTTCTTAAATTGTATAAATATGCATAAGATCCCTATAGCATTAATCTTATTTGCACAAATGACTTGCATGCGAAGAGAATACATATGTAAATGGTAAATGTTGCATTAAGGTCTTATCAGATCTCAATTTATGGACATATGTATATGCATGTGTCGGGTGCTATAAGTACTATACAATTATATACTATAGTGGTCCGATCTGAACATTTTGTTTGGAAATTGTCAAATAAAAAAGTTTTCCATTCCATATGGAAGCTATATGCTATAGTGTTCGACATCCGCGTGCCGGCAAATGAACAAAATTTCAGATCGATATCTCAAAAATTAGATGACTATTTTGCGTATGCCACGGTATACGTACAGACAGACGGACATGCTAAAATCGTCACGCTGATCATTTATAGTGTATCCGACGTTTCCCTCTAGGTGTTACAAACTTCGTGACCAATTTAATATACCCTGTTCAGGGAATAAAAATATACTTTTGACTAACTTTTTATGAATTCCACGGAGCCTGGCGTGCAGTTGTAATATTGTATATAAGTTTTCCGCACGAGACTTTAGTTTTGGCATTCAGTTTTTACGATTTTGTTTGGTATACAATTTTGCATGGTAATCTGTCAAAAGATGCTGAATTATATGTGTCTATTTGGACAGTTGGCATAGCTACCGCTTATGCTATACCTATACAGAACCTTCCCGTATTTGTATAATGAATGCATTTTGTTAAGATCTCTTTTTAAGAAAAATGCTGACTGTTGTGAATAAATATTTAATGAAGACTTTGCGACCTGCGACAAACACAACTAAATGCTCCTATTCTCAAGTAAAAAGTAATTATAAATAATATTACTCTGACTTATATCATGTGTGCTATGTAAATTTACTACCAATGTCTAATTGTATCGCTTACCTTCTAGCTTGCGCGCCTATATGATATATACGTTTTATATGCTTGTTACGTATTTTATGCGCATGCAACAATGACACCTCGTACGCCACATTCGCTTCGCTCATCTGTGAAATTTATGAAAATTTATTACATACATACTCGTACACACTAAATGCTTGATATTAATTACGCCATTTCAAGTGACTTACTTTAGCAATATTGCTCACATGTATGGGCTTCCCATTGCAAAAGGCGCCGCCACCTAGTTTTGTTGTGTACATTTTCTGCTGCACCGGATTGTTGATGATGCCCAAAACGATTTGCTTATTTACCGCCAAACCGATTGAGATGCACACATGCGGTATCTGTTTGATGAAATTCGATGTGCCATCGATGGGATCAATGATCCAAGTTGGTGCGTCCGTTAGCGCTTTTGTCACATGATTATTTTTCGCTGTATCCTCTTCGCCGATAAACTTGTGCTCCGGATAGCGTGCCAATACTTGTTCGATAAGAAATTCTTCAATTTTATTATCATAATCGGTGACCACATCGTAAAATGCCGTCTTGATGCTGACCTGCTTGCCGGCCTCCGCGTAACCTTCGAGCAGTATTTCGCCAGCACGCTGCGCAAGCGGATACATAAAGTCGAACCATTCGTTGATCAGCTGTGGACTGGCCATATTGTTTGCTTGTGCTTTGCGGGGGTTTTTTGAGTAATATTTTTTCGTTAAATTGAAATTGATTTTAATTTCTTGAAAGTGTCGCGCTTTATCTTAGTGTCTCGCTTTGTATGTATGTTTTTAAGCACTTTATTCACCCTTCTCTATATATATATGAAATTTTTCTACACAACGCTATCTATGTTGCCGCAAAAAATAACGTTTACAAGCTTCAGCAAAGTTCAGCACTCAACTGATTGTTGTGTCTATCAAATGCGCGTTGTTGTCTGTGCAAAACATGCTTTTGCAGCTGATGCCACTCGTTCTACCGCTACTGATTAATAACGATTGTTGTATCTCCTGTATTTATTTCTACTTTCTATTCTGGGTTTGCTCTGTTATTGTTTGTTTTTGTTTTTTCTTCAATTTTAATTACAATTTGCTTGTAAATAAAAATTCTCACCGTTCGTGAGTATCGGATGTAGCTCTGGGGTTGCCATTGTCCCATCGCATTTATTAAAATAAAGAGCTTAAATTATTGAGCTATGGCTTTGATAAAATAAATTTAGAATCGCGTTCGAAGTATTGATGATATTATCTAATAAGTGGGTGCATTTAACAGTATTTGAGAATTGACGCTATTAGTTTGCTCTCAATGTCTGCTAAAATAAGTAACTAACACACCCTACTAAAATAAGTAACTAACACACCCTACTAAAATAACTTAAAGTTGAACAGTTTAATGTTAGATTCGCTTGGAGCTTTAAGCTTTCATAACTTTGCTTATATTAGCTCAAAACATTTCGCTTTAAAAAACCTTTTCATTTGAGTTTTCATTATAAAACAATTAACTAAAATTCTTCTAGATTTTTTACTTACAAAGTTTTAATTACTATATATATGTAATGCACGTTTTTCGGTTGGTTTAGCCCGGTTCCAATATGCCACCAATGGGTTATCAAACACACGGAATGCCGCCAAATGTAAGATTTTTCAAAATAATTTTATTTGTTAACTACTCCATACAAAAACTTCGCAAAAATTAGAACATGATTAATAACAAATAAATTATTTAAATGTGAAGTCAGTCAGTGCATCAGCCTCTTCAATTAAACCGACTATGATTTTTACTAACTCTGGCGTGGCTGCGGCTGTTAAATCGGGTTTCATAATATTAAATTCACCTATTGCTATGATATAGCACACCACCGGCTTCACGTAATATCACTGCGCCACCAGCTATATCCCATGGCTGTAAATCTTCAACGTGGTAGCAATCAAAGCAGCCGCTTGCAAGGTAGCAGAGGGTCAATGCGGCACTGCCCATGCAACGTGTGCTGTTAAAGTGAACGATTTTTTGTGAACTACTTTATAAATATATAAATTATTATATGTATCCCGTGCTAACAGCGCGAGTTTAGAAAGGCGCTTCACATACTTATCACGCAGTGATGCTTCGCAATAATGCAAACTTCGTAAGCTAAAACTGCATCGTTCATCTGAAATCGACATATAGTGAAAGAAAAAATAATATCAATATTTAAAATGTTTGAATTTTCTCTATTCTAAAGTATACTAAGTGGCATGCTAAATTAATAGATTTTATTTCGTGAAAAGCTATTTACTTGTATACCTTGTAATTAAATTGTTGGCTTAAACGGAGAGAAAGACCGTAAAGATTGTTATTATAATCATGAAACGAAACCGCATACTAATATACATACATATGTCGCCACAGAACAAATATATGGTGCTCATTGCAATTTGCATATTAACGCATAATGTCAATATTTGCGCTTAACTACACTTTGTAGAAGTTCGCCTCATATAACAATCGCTGGTCGCAGTCCGATAAGCAGCAGTCCGATAAGCAGCATAACCTGACGACCTTTGCTAACACTCGCATCAGACCACCTGCCCATAATAATCTTGATCGAGAAACTCCCCGATTTTATTTCTGTGGACAACCGCACTACCCATTTCTACGGACGTACGAATATTCGCATGGGTTGGCGAACGTCAATTTATCAAGGTGATCGCTGCTTTCTTGCTGGTAGAATGTACGACCAAATTTCGCGACTGAAGCAGCAGTTTTGGCAAATGAGCGCGACTACTACCATGTAGATATCTGTGATAAGGGATTTCAATTTAGAGATTCAACAACTGGTAGATCAGCATAATCAGACGAATGGGTGGATCATCTGAAATCAGTAAACTCTTCTTGCACTTTTGAGTAAGAACTAATTTTCTTTTGGTCTACTTCAAATATCCACCCAATATATATGTTTGTCAACATGTATGTAGTTTGAATATTTAATTAAATAATACTCACTTCGGTACATTTTCTCACATGAATACGTTTACCATTCAAATAAGCGCCATGACCCTTCCATGCCGAATACATTTCATTTGCAATAGGATTATAAACAATACCCACTACCAATTCTCGATTAATGGCCAACCCACCGATATACACCAATGTGGTATGCGGTGTATGAATTGGTGGTGCCATCTATGGGATCAATAATCCATGTGGAGCATCTGTCAACTCGGGAACTTTGCCGCTCTCCGATACACTCTCCTCGCCGATAAATTTGATTCTGGAAAGGCTGTTTGCAAACCCTCGAACAGTATATCCTCTACTTGTTTATCATATACAGTTGCTAAATCGTAAGCTGCTGTTTTTGTTTAAAATCTACATCAGCAACGCTATAACCTTCACGTAGTAGTGGACCACATTTCATAACCAATTCTAATGCAACATTATAGTAGTTACGTATTTTAGTATCATCACTCTTATTTGCCATTTTTTTCTTTTATGTAAAGTAATGTT